CTGAAACTTTGTAATAAATATGGCAGCAAAAATGAGGACAGTAGTCCGAATAATGTAAATAGTGTGCATAATACTTCATCTCAGAAATATAGACAGATACTGAAAGGTCGAAACGTTGTGATAAATATGGCAACAAATATGAGGACAATTGTCTGAATAATGTAAATAGTGAAACAATTCTTATATAAATTTATTTTTCCCCGAAAAAATGTTTTTTAAGACTATAGTGTCCATAATATATTTTATTTATAAAAGCAATTAAAAGCTTTTCTAATTAAATAATGTCTTAATTTTATAGCATTTTTTATTTTACGAATCCGAGCAGAATTTCGGTAAATGGTGATACTGTTTTGTGAAAAGAAATTGATGATTTAAATTCTGAAAGAGTCCTGCTTTTACTAATACAAACATTAAGTTCTACACAATATAATTTCTCGCAATTTCATAAAATTAAATAATTATTTGAGTTTTACAAGAATTTCAAAATGTTTCTCACATTAAAAAAAAAATGTTAAAATCTCTGGTCCCTTCGCTGACGAAAAACAACAATATCTTTAATCAAATTTTTAAAAAGAATAAAAAATATTAATTAATATAAATAATTTCTTTCCTCTTAATAATAGCATGGAAATTTTGCCAGGACCAGTTTTTTAAATTAAATTTGGGGCATTTTGTCAATCATGGTATGCTCTTTTTTAGTGAATCTAATACACACACACACACACACACACATATATATATATATATAATTATTTATTTAGAAAATTTATAACATAAACATGTTATAAAATCACTACAAAAATATCCATTTTGTTTCAACACTCCCGGTGTCTTATCAAGTGATGATGTTGAATGCAAAACAAATGGTTTTAAAAGTTTCAAATTCGTTAACGATCTTTCACAAGTGTAGACCGTATTAGGAAAATGATCTATAAGGTATTTAAGGATTTAGGTCTTAGGACTATAGTTACAACTAATATTAAACAAGTTGATTTTCTAGACGTCACCCTAGACCTTGCTAACAACACTTCCCAACCATATATGAAAGTTAATTCCAACCCAATATACGTGCATCCAAATTCCAATCAACCCCCTTCAGTTATCAAACACATACCCTCTTCCATTAAATTTAGAATTAGCACTAACTCTTCTAACAAGCATGTTTTTAATAAACATCGTGATTTTTACAATTCTGCACTCAAAAAATAGTGGATACAAAGATCCCACTATTCAATATAAAAACCCTGTTAATTGCAACCATAATAAGAAAAAAAGATCTAGAAAGATCATCTGGTTCACTCCCCCTTTCAATATAATGGTTAAAAATAAATTTGGACATATATTTCTAAACCTCATCAAGAAACATTTCCCCAACCCTGAAACTAACCCACTTAGTAAAATATTTAATCCTAATACCCTTAAATTAAGCTATAGTTGTGCTGATAACCTGGAAAAAATTAAAAAACAAAAAAAAAAATAAGAAATATATATATATATATATATATATATATATATATATATATATATATATATATATATATATATATATTGTGTGTATTTAGAATGAAGCATATTTTCATTTATAACAATTTCATTAAATTAGGAAAGCCATTGGTTATACCAAGTGTTTCTATTTATTTTATTAAAATTTTTCGTATCTTCTGATAAGTCATGTGACATTATCATGAGATGTGGTGAAATTCACAATTTTAGCGTCTTTTTATGCGCGTGTTCATCGTTACTTAGTGATCCACTATGTAAACAAAACAATGACAGAATATATCATCACTGTCGTGTCTGTCATATTGTTTGATATGTTTGTATTTACATCTTTGATAATGGCTTGAGTAAGCCGAAAGCTTAGATTTTATTAAAAAATAATGATAAATATTGTGAATTTTTTTCGGTTAATGATAATGTTGTAAAACTTATCAGAAGATACGAAAAAATTTTACATAAAATAAATAGACAACACTTGTCTATATTATTTAATGAAACGTGTATAAATATATATATATATATACTGTAAATCCCAATAAAACACACTTGTTGCTTGCATATCCATTGTGTCTCGGTATTACTCACAATTTATGAATGTATTGGTTTTATGTTTGTTGTAGCATACCTGCAGGCGATAATGGGTAAGTCCCCGTTCATATTAATACAGTAGTAAATACTGTATGTTGGTCTGTAGTTGGAGTTTCGTCTCCAACTCTGCTGGTCAAACTGTCTGCCTCGGGACACAGAGGATCCCAGACGAGGCTATTTCGAAGAGCTGAGTCCAGTCCCGGGAAGCAGCTTCCCAACCCCGTTGTATACGAGGTCTACAGGGAATTTTTGGCTGAGCTTACGGGCTCGGATACCCCACATTAAATTCGGCCTTGTGCCACATCTAATCGTGTGGGGCGGTTGATAGACATCCTGCAGTCGATGATTCGTCACCAGCTGTGGTGGTCAAACTCTCTGCCTTCGAGCAGAAAAGGAGCCTCAGATGAGGCTG